CCCCAAAACCCCAAAACCCCAAAACCCCGATTTTGTTTGAGGATATTGAAAATATGTCCAAATCTTAGTGGATTCTAAGGATTTCATGCTTGAATTGTCTAATCCTCAACCTATACCTGTCACGAACCACTTCTTAAAGATGACATTAGACAAATATGTTAGGCAGAAGGCCAATAGCACTACTATTTTTGTTGTGCTTTCTGAAAGGAAGAGCTTTCTTTAGGGATTTTATTCCTCAAAAAGGACTCTGACCTCTACTCTTGGTCGTTGAAACTTCTGTTGCAAGGTATCTAAACAGTTATGATTCAAGCATACTTCTCTTGAACACGTGAGGTGCGGAAGATCGAACCTCTACTACCTTTATTACTCCAAATAAGACTATTGTTCATACTGCCTAGCTTTAATTTTTGATATTTTGGTTTCTGAGGACTTCTCTTAACCCCATCTAAATTAAGAATATTGATCATTTTCTTCTTGAGATACATAGGTGAAGAAGCTTTTCGATTAGTCTTAGCCTTCAGGCATCTATTTCTGGTCTCTTTTGCTTCTAAGATATTTCTTGGAAGGCTGATGCTTAAATTCTTCTTGCTAAGATCATTCAACTTCGTCAGCCTAACTAAACGCTTTGGCATTTTATATCTCTTGCTACTTATTTTCTTCGGCTTCATTGTCATTGATCTCTCACTGTATGTATGGTTTTAACGTTTGAAATTACTTAGGATAACTAGTTTCTTGCGGGTTTCTGGTACTCCCATCATTCCATTTCTCTATAGTGACTTTCTTCTGTATTCTGAAGCTCATGTCCAAGTCGGCAGCAGGGCTTCACTCAGGCTTGAAAGCCTCTTGATTTAAGGTATTAGGCTTCTCTAAAAATATTAATATTTTGGGCCTTTTGATGTATTTAGATATTTTAGGTAGAAGTCCTTACTGTCTTTTGAATTGAGTAATTTTAGCTTCTGGATGAGTTTTGATTTGTATTCTGGGAAGCTATTTATGAACTTTTGTGGGCTGGATAGGTCATTGAAGGGGATTTTTGAAATTAAGTCCATTCTATAGAACAAGGTCAGAGATTGGAATGTGAAGGGGTGAGATAGATTAAGAAAAGATTTATGAGTGTCTAATGGGTTTGAAGCGAGAGGGAGTTTTCTAGAGATTTCAGATTTTTCAATTTCGAGGTGTAGAAGTGGAATTTGTAAATTTTAAGATTAGAGGGAAAATTTTATAAAAATAATATTTTTCCAGAGGATGGCATGGATGTTACTTTTGTTGTGAAGAGAAATATTAAGTTTATGAAAGAGTTAACAATTTTAGGAAATTAGGACAAAGGAGTACAAGATCTAACAAGTTATTCACTTAGATTTAACAAATGAATTCCAAGTCGAACTATCCATTTCCATTTATCTGTACTCAGTTAAAAGGAATGTACTTTGACATTACTTTTCCTAAGAATTCTCTTCTATTAGCATAATAATCCTAATTCTCAAAATAAAATCTTCAAATTTATGAATAAGCTTGTGTATGAAAAATATCAAAAAATATAGAAAACTCTGACTTTGCTTGAGCCTGTTCAAATATAACAAGTTTTGAAGCTATAATAGCTTTATTCATAATGGAAGAAGTTTTCAATATTAAAACGTCATTAAGAGTTGCAATGAGAGGTTTAGGATATCGAAACCACTGTTTTCATAGAAATTTATTTGTCAGAAATTTTATCCAAGCAACTAGAAAATATAAAATTTTGCTATGGTCAGGAACAAACCATGCATATAGTTAAATCTTTTACAACAAGTCTGAGAGTAGTTTACAATAGTGATTATATCTGGGTAAAACAATAAATAGATTTTTCACGCCTAATTAATATTTCATCCTAAAGTATCAATAAGAGCCTGTAAACAGTTATAAAAAGATATTAGATGCGCCCTTCATCAAGAATCCTATGACAAAGACTGCTGCGAGAGAAGCTGAAAATGCTTAAAGGAGTGCATTCCATGTTGAAATAAGGCATGATCTCTATTTCTATTGATAGGGGAGAATTTATCATAAGTATTTCCACCTTTTAGCTTCTTTCATTTTCATTCTAATAAATTCTATAATGGTTATTTATAATAGACACATAATAGCCAATGTATCAGTAGCACCAGCTCTATCTAAACAGGGCTCAAAGGCAAGAGGTTAATACCTCCAAGACAAAATTCGAACAAATCTGAGAAGTTGATCTAAAATCTCTAAGCTTCAAAGAAGGTGTTCTTCATTACTCTATTTGGTGCCTTTTAATAAACCTTTGCATTTCCTCAAAGTTCACGGGATTGCTGCTTGAGTGGGACCTCTTTCCTAGAGATGAGAGAGAGTAGTACCAAATTGGAATTTCTCCATGTGCCTAATATTAGTAAATTTCAATATAATATAAATATTTTGGGGTTTTGGGGTTTTGGGGTTTTGGGG